GTAAGGAGATATTATTGAGACTTGAAAGTAGTTTGGCTATCTTGTCACTGAATTCTGTAATGGATTGATTGTGACCTTTTCTCGTATCGTTGATTCTTTGCAGTAACTGTTATACTATATTCTTCGCAACGTAAGCTGTGGTAAGTTTTCTATTAACTGTTGTAATGTGTCTTGATAACCCAGTGGTGAGACTCTAGCACGTACATTATGGTAAAGTTTGCACTCTACGATATATTTCAAGAGCTCTTGTTTGTTTTCTTGTATTATCTTCTTATCGTACAATTGTAATCTATGGAGGAATGAACTTAATTCCTCTTGTCTTTCTTGAAGTGTTGGTAGAATTTTTTTTACATTTTCTAGAATTGAGTCATATGAAGCCATTCTTGTATTTGTAGTTGGTGTTGTACTTGGTGGGTGTTGCCGAAAATTGCGAATAATTTAAAAACCTTTGTCTGGCAATCATGACAAACAGCTGACTTGGAGACTTCGAAATTATTTAGTAAATTTCCGTTTTTCTTGTTGTGATTGCTAGACAAAGGTGAGTAAATTTTTAGTTTAATTTTTCAATCGTAATTTTTTAATGTAATCATTAATCATGTTACAGATTTTTTAAGCGCAAAATAAAGAGTGCTATTTAAAATTGTCAAAAGTGCATTTATTTTCTTATTTTTTACAACAAGAAAATCTTAAAAAATCTTTATAATATGGAAAATGATAATGACGTGGAGCTGCCTCTTCAAAAAGGTTTAACATCAGCAGCCATACTTGAAGTTGGAGATGCAGATGGTGATGATAAAATCTCACACAAACACAATGAGGATGATGGTCAACATAGTAGACAACAGCAGCAGCCCAGCGCCAACATTACTCGAATAAAACAACTTAAGTTGCAACTAGAGGAGTCGTTGCAGATCAGGGAGAGCTATTTGCGGGAAAAATTTAAAATCCTCACTGCAGATAGTGACGACGAGGGTATCGTGGAATCACATTTGCCTGAAGTTGGGCAATTACCTCAGCTGAATGCACATCAAGCCGTAGCTGATGAACACTTTTCGCCACATGGCCAACCTCATCTACAGAGTACACCAAGGTTAGTAAATAATCCATCTCTTTATACCTTACAGATCGCTCCCACGCTTACGCCGTCTCAGCTAGCAGCGCGTCAATGCATACCGAGAGATTTGCCTACGTTCCGCGGCGATCCAGAAGAATGGCACATTTTTATAAGTGCGTACGAGCAAACTAAGCAAATCGCAGGTTTCTCCGATTATGAATGTCTAATGCGCTTACAGAGGTGCCTCATTGGTAAAGCGCGCGATGTAGTACGCAATATGTTGGTGTTGCCTAATGTGGTTGGAGAAATAATAAACACTCTTCGTATGTATTTTGGACGACCAGAAATTATTCTAAATAAATTAGTTGAGAAAATGCGTCAGTTACCGCCTCCAAGGGGTAGGCTGGGCGATTTAATTGACTTTTCAGTCAACATTAATAATGTAGTTGCAACAATTGAGGCATGTAAGCTGAATAGTTATTTTAATAATCCACTCTTATTACATGAGCTAATAAGTAAATTAGCTGAAGATATGAAGCTCAAATGGGCACTACATTCAGCATCAATAGCCGAACCTACACTTCGCGATTTTTCAGCGTGGCTCTCATCTTTAGCAAATGCGGCAAGTAGAGTAGCTACACCTTCTTTTTTAGATAAACCACTAAAAAAGGAAGGACGAGTGCACATACATCAGACAGCTGAAATGACAACCACGGCAGTTAGGTGTTACATTTGTGGCGGCGGACATAAAATAATGGAATGTGAAATATTCACGAACGAGCCTACAAATCAACGCTGGCGCATTGTTAAGGAAAAGAAGCTGTGCCGACAATGCTTAGGCGAGCATAGGCGTCGCTGTTTCAGTAATAAAGTATGTGGCATTGATGGCTGCAATGCACGACACCACCCCATGCTGCATTCTCGGATAGACCAATCTACGCCAGCAATATCTTCTACAGCTAACAATGTTTCATCGGATATAGTAGAACAAATAAGTTTAAGTCCATACTCAAACAAAGCGTTACTCAATAACCATAATTCATCAGTGAATAAAAACTGGTCATATTGCCGAATTCTTCCAGTTACTTTATATGGCACCAAAAGGACTATTAACACATATGCATTGATGGACGATGGGTCAACACTAACGCTTATTGAAGCAAGTCTAGCCGATGAATTGGGAAACGATGGTATCCAGGATGCGCTATGCATTAATTGGACAGGTAATATCAGTCGACAGGAAAATAACTCAAAAAGGCTCAACTTACAAATTTCTGCCAATGCTCCTCAAGCTAAAAAATTCCCATTGAAAAATGTCCGCACAGTAAGCAACTTACGCATGTCAGCAGAATCTGACATGACATGGGTGGCTGGCAAGAACCCGTGGCGGTGAAAACACGTCTTGCTTGGACAGTTTTTGGTGGTGGTGAATTAAACCACCGTAACAACTTAAACCTACACAAATGTAGCTGTGGACAAGAAGCTGATAGGGAGCTTCATGAGTTAGTAAAGACATTTATAGTAAACGAGAATGTCGCGGTGGCTACCCCAAAAGCAGAATTACTTTCAGTTGAGGATCAGCGAGCAGAGGAAATAATGCGCAAGTGCCAGTTACGCGGAAACCGCTACGTTGTCAATTTGCCATGGAACACCGATACAGTCGAATTGCCAAATAGCTTGCCGATGGCATTACGTCGAGCGGAGTGCTTACGTCGAAAAATGCATGGGGACCCTGAATTGTGTCAAAAGCTAAAGGAACAAATCACTACTTTAGTCAGCAAGGGCTACGCAACTGAGTTGCCACCAGAAGCAATTAACGAGCGAGGTGGAAAGATTTGGTATTTACCAATTTTTATTGTGCGCAATCTACTTAAACCGAAAAAGCATAGATTAGTTTGGGATGCTGCAGCCAAAGCTGAAGGAGTGTCACTAAACGATTTTTTGCTGAAGGGGCCGGATATGCTGCGACCACTTATAAACATATTATTAAATTTTCGTATAGGAAGAATAGCTGTCTGTGGTGACATTGCTGAAATGTTTCATCGAATTCTAGTACAAGAAGCAGATACTGATGCTCAGAGATTTCTATGGTTCAGCGAGACATTTAAAAATATTTGCGTTTATAAATTAAATGTAGTTAGCTTTGGTGCGCGATGTTCACCATATATAGCGCATTTTATTCGAAACCTGAACGCAGAAAGATTTATAGCTGAAAATCCTAGAGCAGTGTACGCTATTAAAAACAATCATTACGTGGATGACTTTATAGATTCAACAAATTCCATTGAACAAGCAATAGCATTAGCCGAGGCAGTTCGCAACATACATGAACAAGGTGGTTTCCATATGAGAAGCTGGACAAGTTGTAAAGAACCTTTTTTTCTCAAGCCGGGGTTTTTCTCGCCGGATCCCAGAGTCGTTACAAGAATATTTTTTCTCTGTAACCCTGAATCTTCTCGTAATTAAAAAACGGGCTATTTTCGTTAGTTTCGTGGTTTTTATTATTTTTCTCAAAATAAATTTATTACAATATTTATAGTTATACTTATGTACTAATGATATTTTATTGTAATTATAAATACGGACAATTAATATAACTCCTGTAAATAAGAGAACACAAAAGAATGACTAAAGGTAGGCTAGGAGACAACACTACCGACAGGGCTGTGTTGCTAGGTTCAGTGTTACCGACTGGGCTACACTGTGGGATTAGGAACAACACTACCGACAGGGCTTGTTGCTAGGTTCAGTGTTACCGACTGGGCTACACTGTGGGATTAGCAGAAGGCTGTGTTGCTAGGTTCAGTGTTACCGACTGGGCTACACTGTGGGATTAGGTAACAACACTACCGATAGGGCTGTGTTGCTAGGTTCAGTGTTACCGACTGGGCTACACTGTGGGATTAGGAAACAACACTACCGATAGGGCTGTGTTGCTAGGTTCAGTGTTACCGACTGGGCTACACTGTGGGATTAGGAAACAACACTACCGATAGGGCTGTGTTGCTAAGAATCAGTTCTATGACTTAATAATTACCTCTGTGATTATCTTGTGAAGTGTTCTGCTTCACGACCTGTGATTGAACCTCTGGTGATGTGCACTGTTCGAAGTGCTGTGGCCAAGTTCCTGTGTTTTACTTTGCTTCTCCTTTTATACGGATTTTATATAACGGGATAACTGACTTCTGAGTGCATACTGTGTAGCTTTCTTTTAAGTTGTTATTGCCTGCTACTGATCTCGCTATGTTCTGCTGTTGTTGTTTGCTGCATATTTATTATTAAAGTTTGGCAAAATAATTACCCTCAAAGAAATCGGAAGTATTATTACTTAATTTGTATTTTCAAGAGATTTATTGTTTCTTTTAATTTTGATAACTAAATTCTATGATAATTTATAATTACTTATTACTATCTTACTTTCTAAAATAATTCCTTTTACTTTATTAATACTTTATATATTTTTTTCATAGCTTAGACTAATATTTTTTTCCGTGGGTTTGGTTTTACTAATAATAGTTTAATTCTATTGTTTTGTTTGTTTACAATAATAATAATAACTTCATGCTATATATATAATTTTTTTCGACTGAAAATAGTTTAATTCTGTTGTTGGGTTTTTTTATTTGTTTACTACAATAACTTCATGCTATATATATTTTTCGACTAAAAATAGTTTAATTCTGTTGTTGGGTTTTTTTTTTTTATTTGTTTACTATAATAACTTCATGCTATTTTCAACTATTATAATTTATTTGTGACGCGTTGGAAAAAATCGTCACACTCCCTCCCTTCATTGGAAAGGGGGAACGACCCGAATGGCACCAGAATTTGCTATGAGCACCTTATGCTTCGTTGCTCCGCTTTGTACAAAAAATGTATGGCGACGACCTCGTTTTAGCTTTTGAGCGTCCTTTTTTATTTTCTCCCACAGTTCTGCATGCGTTGGTTCTGGAGCTAGCGGTGATATTGGTCGCTGCTGGCATATTTCCTGTAACTCTTTCATCAGGTCTTCCGCGGCTGTAATATCCAAGAAATCGGTGTCTTTTCTAGGTTTGGTTGGCGGGTTAACCACTGGCTGCTTGGTTTCTGCTTGCTTTTTATATCTTGGTTTTACTGGAATTGGCTCCTTTAAAAACTTGGTCCTGGGCTTGGCTTGTTCAATTGTTTCGAGCCGCTTTCGATATTTTTGAATGCTGGTGGTGAGCTTCTTATTCTGTTCGGAATGACTTACTACTACTGCACTTGGTTTGAGAGTAGTGTATTCTATTGGGCAATTGCTGATCCATTGTTTGACTTTCATCTTGCTCTGTGGCTTTATACTATTCAACTAAATCCTCCTATAATTGTCTTCGTATTTTATAGGAATTTTTATTAAGTAGATCCCGTTACTCCTGCTGCAGTACATTCGGTATTTTGATTTATTCATGGTAATATGTTTTTAGTTCGCTAATATGAGCTCTACTCTCTTTATGTGTTTGCATATGCTTGAGTTTGATAATGACTGGCGATATAAAATTGACCACCTGATAGGGTCCTGAGAACTTAGGTGCCAGTTTTGCAGCAAAATGAGCCTGAGCGTTGGATAGAGGATGCGTTTTAACTAAAACCATATCGCCAATCTGTGGTTTCCATGCCCTATGTCGTCAATTATAGTGCTTGGCTTGGTCTTGGGAAGCTGACTGTAGGTTAAGTTTCACAATTTGTTGTATTTCTTGCATTTCGTGTTGCTTGGTTTCAAGGGGTATCGATGCGCAGTTTGTTCCAAGTGTGGTTTCATCGAAGAGTGCACTTGGGAGTCTGGGGGTTCTTCCGTGTATAATATAAGCTGGACTGTAACCAGTAGATGTGGATACACTGGAGTTGAGTGCTAACATTATTTCAGGTAGATGCTCGTCCCATTTACGCTGTTCCTGTTCTGATACTTGTGCAATTATTGTTTTTAACGTTCGATTGGTGCGTTCTACCGGATTCTCTTGCGGAGTGTATGGTGCTGTGAATTGATGACGAATTCCAAGATCTTCAAGAAATTTTCTCAATGCTCTGCTATTGAATTGCGATCCATTGTCTGTGAGTAGTACCTTTGGGACTCCAACTCTAGCTATTATGTTCTCTCGTAACGCTCTTTTCACTCCATTTGTTGTAGCAGATTTCAGTGGGATAACTTCGGTCCATTTGCTGAATTTATCCAAGAGAACCAATGCTACTGTGTTTCCTTTGTATGATCGAGGTAGCGGCCCAATGAAATCAGCACAGAGTACTGCCCACGGTTCATTTGGTATTTCTGTTAACATTTTCCCGGCAGGTTTTTGTTGACTTATTTTATACCGCTGACATGAGCTACAGTTTTGCACGTACTTCCTTATATCCCGAAAAATTCCAGGCCAATAATACTTTGATATCACGCGAAGAATAGTTTTCTTAATCCCAAGATGTCCGGCAGTTGGTTTATCGTGGCATTCCTCCATCACTCGTTGTCGTATTTCGGTTGGAACACAGAGTTTCCAAGCAGGGGAATCATTGTCTAGGTTGCTGCATAATATCCGCCGGTATAAGTTGCCATTCTCGATGGTGTAGTCTGGGTGTTTTTCTGGATCTTCTTGTACTTCGTTTATCCGTCTTTGCAACCAAATGCATGAGATAGGTTTTGTCTCTTGTACAACTGCTTGTGCGAATAATGGTAGTGGTTGTCGTGACAAGGCATCCGCAATTATGTTTTGTTTGCCTTTCCGGTATTCTATGTCGAAGGTATATTGTTGTAGCTCCAAGGCCCATCGAGCGATGCGTCCAGAGGGGTTATTAATTGAATTTAGCCATTTCAGAGCGAGATGGTCTGTTATCACTGTAAACCGGTAACCTTCTAGATATTGTCGCATCTTTCTTACTCCCCAAATGATTGCGAGGCATTCCTTCTCAGTAGTGGTATAATTTTTCTCTGCCTTATTCAATGACCTACTGGCGTAAGCAATGACTTTCTCTTTCCCTTGGATGATTTGTGTAAGCACTGCTCCCAATCCATTATCACTCGCATCTGTTTGAAGTGTAAACCGTTCAGTAAAATCTGGGCATGTAAGAACCGGAGCAGTAGTTAATTTTTTCTTCAGCGAGTCAAAAGCCTCCTGTTGCTCTATCGACCAGTTCCATTTTTTTCCCTTTTTTAGCAGTGCCGTCATTGGTTGGATTGTATTTGAAAATTCTGGCACGAATCTTCGGTACCAAGATGCTATTCCTAGACATCGTCGAAGTTCTTTCAGGTTTGTGGGAGGTGCTAACTCTTTTATGGCCGCTATTTTATCTGGGTCCGTGTGGATTCCTTGGTTGCTTACAATGTGCCCAAGATACTTGATCTCGTCCATAAAGAATTTACATTTAGGGATGTTGATTTTAAGCCGTGCTTCTCGCAACCGTCTCAATACTTCCTGTAGATGCGTTTTGTGTTCCTCTAGTGTGCGTCCAATTACTATAATATCATCAAGATATGCGAAAGCGTATGGCTCCATCTCAGGTCCTATTACCTTATCCAATGCCCGTTGGAATGTCGCAGGTGCTGAATGTAAACCAAACGGCATAACACGCCATTGGAAAAGCCCTCTTCCAGGTACTGTAAATGCTGTAAGCTTTTTGCTGGCTTCGTCCATTGGTATTTGCCAATACCCATTTTTTAGATCCAGACTACTTATGTACTTTGCTTCACGTAGTTGATCAAGTATATGTTGTATTCGCGGTAGCGGGTATGCATCTGGGACGGACTGAGCGTTGAGTAGCCTATAATCAACACAGAACCTCCAACTTCCATCTTTCTTTTTGACGAGTACTACTGGAGCGCTGTATGGACTGTATGATCGTTCTATACATCCCTTTTCTAGTAGTTCGTCCACTTCTTGATTTAGAATTTGTTGCATTGCTGGATTTCTTGGGTGATATCTTTGCTTAATTGGTACATCATTTTTCATAGTTATCTTATGTGTTGTAATGTGTGACGTCCCTTCTAATTTAGCAAAATGGGCCAATTCTTTGTTTAAGAAGCTTTTAATTTCAGGCGTTTCGTCGATGTTACTTTGTCGTATACTGCAGTAATGGTTGTCGATGTGTTTGCCTATTTGTATCGGGATGGTAGTTTTTCCAATCTGTAGGTTACTCTGTGTGCTAGATAGGAAATCTAAGCCCAATACTAGATTGTTAGCCATGCCTCTTAATACCAAGAACTCAATCTCAGTTTTTATTTTTCCTAGGTCAATTGTGGCTATTACTGCTTCAGTTATTCTGCGTTTTGTTCCATCTGCTAAGATGATATCTTTGCTGCAATGTTTTTTCTCTGCTTGTATTTTTGTTAGGAGTTCAGGTTCAATGAAACTCCTGGTTGCACCTGTGTCTATGGTAGCCGATACTGGAAAGTCTTGAACCCGTACGTTGACTGTGAGGTGTTGGTCAATGGGTTTTCCTAGGTTTACTTGGTATGTGTCGTGGTCACGTTCGCTTGGTTGGGGCGACGTGACCTTATTCCGTTTCCCTGAGTATTTGGTCTTCGACAGCACTCTATGGTGCGTATCTCCTTTTTCCCACATTGCCAGCAAAACAGAACCTGTGGATTACGGCACCCCTTTGCTATGTGTCCTGTTCTACCACAATGATAGCATATCTTTGCTGGGCTAGTGTGTCCGATTTGACCAAATGGTATTTGTCTCCCTCTGTCGATTGGGCGAGGTTCTGTTGGTTTCTTCTTGTTCTCTTCTGACCGGATGATTTCGTAGTCTTCAGCAAGATTTATGAGCTCAGTTAGGGACTGAAACTCTTTACGCTTGATGTATAATTGATATTCTGTTCTGCTGTTATGAAAGATCCTGTCCAGCTGTTGCGCCTTTGTATAGTTTAGATATTTCATCAGCCGTTGCATTACTAGAACATAAGTTTTGAAATCCTCCTTACTTTGCTGATGTCTCTGCCGGACTTCATCATCGAGCTGTTCCAGGTAACGGCGAGGTAAGAAAAATTTTAATAAATCTTCTTTGAAATCATTCCAGCTAGTCCAACTTCGTCGGTTATGTCGGAACCATGCCAGAGCCTTGTCTTTTAACAACTCAGGCATA